GTAAACAAGACTTGATCTTTGGCTACACAATAAATAGAAAAAGCCAATAAAAATGTCTGAAAAAATGTAGAAATTGGGGTCTCCCTGGTGGCAGGGGTTACATTTAGCGCTATCAAGCTCTCACCAACCACTGCTGCAGGAGTTTGATCTCAGCCAGGGAGCTGACCCCCACGTGCAGCAGACCTCTCCTCTCTCCTTGAGTATATTTCAGTCCAGCTGTCGGTTCTCCCCAGTCTGTCTCTGGTGAACCCTCTCACCACCTGTACCTCTAGCCTACACCCCAGTTCTTATATGCATAAATAAATAATCTTTTTTTAAAATGCAGACATCAGCTTAATTGTGAAGTTGACTTATTCCTTGTGATGCAATTGCAGAGAGGCAGCATAACATAAAATATATTGAACTTGGGATCAGATAGAGTACTGGTTTCAGTACCAGTTCTGCTGCGCATAAACTGGATGATTTTGGCCAAGATTTAACTGCTAAGGTTTGGTTTTCTTGCTTGTAAAGTAGGGGTAGTAGAATTGAATGCATGTGAAGTATTTCTCATGGTGTTTGGTGTGTGATAAGATCTTTAAACGATACATTGTTGGTCACATTCCTTAGACTTTGGGAATTTTGCTCTGTATTGCATTGTGTAGACAAAGAGCTACAGAATTAGAATGTTAGAAGTGGATGGAATCTCAGCTCATTTGGTCCAAGACATTTTCTAGATGAGAGAAGGTGACAGAGTTGGAAAACAAACCACCCTTGGCCTTGGGAATGCTAAGGTCATGCTACATTGCAGGGAATTGGCCCCATTCCTGCTGTTAACACTTTTGGCAACTGAATTGTGTGTCTCATTGAGTGTTTCTACATGTGTGGCTTAGTTTGAGTGTCATGGTTATTTTATTAAAAGGAGATTCTAGTCCTGTTATTCCACAGTAATGAATGTTTAAGAAGAATAAAACATCACTTTTAGCAATGTTTTTATCATTTCACAAGGGCCTAATCTTTTCCAGTGGGTCAAACCTTAGCGTGTATTATATTCTGTAAATAAATTGACTTGAAATAGTTTGTTGTTAGAAACTATTTGACAGCCACATTTGGTTTACTACATTTTTTTCAGAGGAAGGGCATTCACAGGGAAAGGCACTTGTTATATAGATCTCAACTGATGAGGCATTTAGCTTTTTAGAAGTGAAAGTGCTTTGGATGATTTAACTTGCAGATTTTTTTAAGGGTTTGTTTGTTTATGCATATAGAACTGGGGTACAGGCCAGAGGTGCAGGGACAGTGAGAGGATTTACCAGAGACAGAGCAGGGAGCAGAACAGGCAGATAGATGAAGCACACTGCTGAGGGGAGCAGCGGGCGGGTCAGGAGAGGTCTGCTGCGCCCTGTGGTCACCTCCGGGGCAGGCGGGGATCGAACTCAGGCTGAAGTGGCTTTAGCTTCTTAGTGCTGTGCTTTAACCTGTTGTGCCACCAGGGAGGGCCCAGTTTGTTGTTATTATTTTTTTGTCCTGCATTTGTAAACACCACTTAAAGAAAACAATTTTTAGAGGTGGTGCGAAAATATGGGAGGTGACATGATGTCAGGTAAGTCAGGATTAGAATCTTTATTTTGCTTCTGAGAAGCTTTTAGTCTCACAGTTACATTGAGAAATACATCGAGCATACATCACTGTATCTGGTTAAGTTTTACAGGAAGATAATTTGATTTAAATAGACTGTGACATGATTACCACAGCAGGTTCAGGTAGTATTTATCTACTTATAGAAAAAATGAAAAGGAAAACTTCTACCTTTGTTGGAACTCATACAATTTATTTCATTAACAAGTTTATATATATATATATATATATATATATAAATTCTTTGATATATATATACACACACATACAGTGGTATTAGCTATTGTCATCCCGTCATACATCACATCTCTGGTATTTGTCTTAGAACTGAACGTTTGTACATTTTGATAACCTTTGGTTCTCTCCTACTGTGTGCTCATCTTGCCCACATTCTTCATAAAGTTTGGTCTTTCATTTATTTTTTTTTACGATTCTATTTATAGGTGAGATCATAGCATCTTTATCTTTCCCTGTGACTTAATTTCACTTAGCACTTGCCTTCATATCTGTCCAGTGTTGTCACAAATGGTAGGATTTCTTTATTTATTTAAATGGCTGAGTAATGTCGTGTTGTACACACATTTGAGCCCTGAATGATAGGGGAGTAAGGGGTGCCAGCACCTCTTGAGTAAAAAATCTGCATATAACTTGAGTTGCCAAAAACTTAACTGCTGAGAGTGATGTTAGATGAAAGTCTTACTGATAACATAGTGACTAATATGTACTGTATTCTTTAAATACTGAATTCTTTAAATTCTTTAATATGTACTGTATTCTAATAATGTAATCCAGAGTGGCAAAAATATTAAAATAGATCTATAGTACTGTACTGTATTTATCATATTTTTGTATCTGTTAATAAGGAAATTTACTCTTAGTGGGTCAGTATAGTTCAAACCTGTATTGTTCAAGTCATCTGTAAATATACCACAGCTTCTTTATCCATTTATGCATTTATTGAAACCTTTGGTGGTTTTGATGTTTTGGCTATTATAAATAATGCTGCAAGGAACGTTGGGTGATCATACCCTTTCAAATTAGTGTTTTCATTTCCTCTGGATATATTCCCACAAGTGAATGGCTCATATGGTATTGCTATTTTTAATATTTTGAGGCACCTCCATACTTTTTTTAGTGGCCGTACCAACATTATTATCACAACAACAGTATACAAGTGTTTCCTTTGCTCCACATTCACACCAGCATTTATCTCTCCCTTTTTTTTTTTTTTTTGGTGATGGCCATTCTGACAGGCATGAAGTGATGGTTGGTTGGTTGGTTTGTTTTCTTTATTCTGTGTAAAAGAATTGAGGGAATAGGTCAGAGATACTAGGGGATGAGAGGGTTCACCAGAGACAGAGTGGGGAGCAGAACATGTGGAGTGACTGAAATACAGTGCTGAGGGGAGCAGTGGGTGAGGCAGCAGGTATCTGCTGCCCACTATGTGGGTTAGCTCCCTAGTGGGAGATCTAGTGGCCAGCAATAGTGGTGAGGACAGAATTAACCCCTAGGCCACCAAGGAGGCCCACATTAAAGCCCCATTGTGGTTTTAATGTGCATTTGCCTTTAATGACCAGTGATGTTGAACATCTTTTCATGTACCTGTAGGCCATTTCATTTGTTCTTTGGAGAAATACCTGCTTGGAGCCTTTTTCCCTTTTAAAATTGCGGTTGTTTAGAGTTTTCTCTCTTTTTCTTTTGCTATTAAGTTACATATTTTGGCCAGTAACCCCTTCTCAGATAAATGATTTGCAAATATATTTTTTTTCCCATTCCATAGGTTTTCTTTTCTCTTGTATTCTAGTTTCTCAGGATTTCTTTGGGTATTAAAGGTTTTTTTTTTTTTTTTTGGTTCTGTATAAATTTGGGGAGTGTTTTTTACTACCTCTGTGGAAAATGACATTGATATCTTTTATAGAGATTTCATTGAATCTGTAGATGACTTTTGGTAGTATTGACATCTTAATTGTATTCCTTCAAACTATGCATATGGGGTACCTCTCCATTTATTTATATCTTCAATTTCTTTAATCAATGTCTTGCATTGTTCAGCATAGAGAAATTACATCTCCTTAGTTAAATTTATTTCTCAGTATTGTTTTCTGATGCTGTTCTAAATGGGGTCGGTTTATTTTTCAGAAATTTTCTTAGGGTATTTAAAATGACTGATTTTTATATGTTTTTTCTGTATCCTGTGGCCTTACTGAATTTGCTAATTATATCTAACAATTTTTTAGTCGAGTCTTTAGGATTTTTCTATATATAAAATCATGCATCTGTAGTAGACACAATTTTACTTCTTTTACAATTCTGTTATTTTTTATTTCTTGCCTGATTACCTTGTCAGGACTTACAGCACTATGCTGAGTTGGTGTGGTGAGAGTGGGCACCCTTGTCTTGTTTCTGATGTTATGAGACAAATTCAAACTTATTGCCACTGAGTATGTTAGCTATGGGCTTGTAATATTTAGCCTTTATTATGTTAAGAGGTATTCCTCCAGTGCTTAATTTGTTAAGACCTTTTAGTCATGAACAGTTGAGTTTTGTCAAATGCTTTTTCCATGTCTATTGAAATAATTATTTTTAATACAATTTTTTTATTCTACGAATGGTGTAGTGCATTGATTTATTTACATGTGTTAAACCATCTTGTATCACAGATGAATCCCTCTTGGTCGTGGTGAGTGATTCTTGTAATGTGCTATGCAGTTTGATTTGTTGGTATTTTATTGAGAATTTGTGCATATATATTCATCAGGGATATTAGCCTGCAGTTCACTTTTCTTTTTCTTTCTAAAGATTTATTTATATGTACAGAACTGGAGTACAGGCGCGGTGGGGGATGATGGTAAGAGGAGCAGCGGGCGGACAGGAGAGGTCTTTGGGGCCATGTGGGTCAGCTCCCTGGCCGTGGGTCAAACTTAGATTCACTGGCTTCATAGCGCTGTGCTTCAGCGAGTTGCGCCAACAGGGAGGGCCCATCAGTTTGCTTTTCTAGAATTGTACTTTGAATTTCATCTCAAAAGTAGCCTTTTATGACAATGATTGGTTGATTTTGGAGTAAAATTTATTTTATTTTATTTATTATATATAGGCTATTTCTTCCAGTAGGCTCTTTTTAATTTTTTATACTTATTTGATTTTCATCACATTCACATCCTTGCTCTTTTCTCTCTCTTCATGATCTTTATCTTTTGGGTCCTCTGAGCCAGCAAAGCAGAGAGAACCATACTTCAGATAGCCTTTATATTTAATATTTGATAAGACTTTCTCACAGTTAACTAATGCTTTAGTTGACTGGCAATGTAAGATGTTTTAAATAAGCAAAAATTAGCTTGCTTAGCATGTTGAGTTTAATAAATAAACAATATTTAATTTTTCAGAGGTCGAAATAGTAGCAGAGGCCTGCCTCAGTCTACGGTGAGTAACTTTAATGTTGTTTGCAAACTGAAATATGGTTTCTAAACCATAGATCAAAAACCAAGACCAAAAAAAAATTCCTTTTCTTGAATTTTGTATCTCAACTAACCGTACATATCAATACTGTTGGATATAAAATTAATCAGCTGTGTTTTTTGATGATGATGGACGATGTAAGATCTGTAAATAGTATTTTTCATAAGTCATTTGTTTTACAAATGGCTAAAAGCATATCTAACTCCCAAGAGATAATTGGAACCCCACTGCTGGAGTTCATTTCTTTTGAGTGTTTGATTTTGGGTTAATGTGCTACCATTTTCCTGTCATTTTTCTCTCTTGGAAAGAACCCTCCCTGCTCTTAAATTTTGGAACTTTATCAGGAAAAACTAAACTGGGTGTGAAAGGTCACAAGTTCCACATGACGGAAGGACTAATGAGAAACGGTTGTAGTTTCGGAGACTTCGCCTTTAGTAGGTTTTCTCCATTCGTGTTAAGGAGACTCGTGCTTTTAGAGTATGTAGTAAGTAGTGATGTGGTAGTTAGACCGTAGAGCCTGGCATTGATTCAGATTTGTAAAGACCACTTAACCCTATTTAGTGTGTACATTTGTGTGTTTTGATGTGTGTGGTTGTTTTAACCACTATAACACACAAGATGAAGGAATAATTTCCTCACCTCAGATTCCCTTAACTACTTGATAGTATGTATCCTCTTCCCCTGCCACCTCAATTACTGATCTCTTCCTATAGTTTTGTCTTTCCTTGAAGGTGGAAGTTGATTTTTGCTTTTCCATATCATGTGCAGTCAAAACATCCTTACTAATTTTCATCTTGAATATTTAGAATTTTATTCCCTAAGGAAGCAAAAGATAACAGGAGACCACATCTTTTTTAATGCATGTAAAGTATTATAAAGCGAATGTAACAAGACGTCTGTAGAGAGATAGATAAATAATTAATATGTGTACAGGGATGCAGATTTGCTAATTTTTTTTTTTAACATTGCAGATTTCTTTTGATGGAATCTATGCAAATATGAGGATGGTTCATATACTTACATCAGTTGTTGTAAGTTCCCAAGATTATCGGGGATTGCTTCCCAGTAATGGAATAAAATAATTTGGAATAAAATAATTAAGTTAAATGTGGATGATTGATTATCAAAGCAGCATCCTCTGAATCAGGATGATTTAGAAAAATGTATTAGAAGTTGAAGTAATTGTAAGCTTTCAAAACATTCTTGTTAGTTCTCCTATGTAGAAAACAGTATTAGTAGTTGTCTGTCTTTAGTACATTGTTTGCCACCTAATAACCACCTAATAAAACTAGAGTCAGAGTAATGTACTTATAGTATTTAACACTCAAAATTCTCAATCAGGGCTGCCTAAAGAATTTTTAGAATTCTACAGGTTATTATCTGTCAGTGAACACTAATATTTTGCATGAAGCCTGATGAGCTGTAACAAGTGAAATAAAAAGTTATCCCTCATGGCTGGGTTGCACACTATTTCTTTGATAAATTAATTATGTCGTTGTAGGGATCCAAATGTGAAGTACAGGTGAAAAACGGAGGTGTATATGAAGGAGTTTTTAAAACATACAGTCCTAAGGTAATTTTTATTTCATCTTTTTTGTTGTTGTTAAATGTAAAACCCTACAAGCTGTCAACTACTGTATTTTTGTCTGGTTTCCTGGCAGTGTATGTTAGTTTCTGCTTTAGCAATTTATAGTTAATGAGGTGAGTATGTCACATTTTCATGCTGAGTATTTCATGTGTAAAACCATTTTGAATGCTGTTGCCTCTGGTTTCAAGCACTGCTTATTTTGTCAATTGGTTGAAATAATCATATTTCTTTAAAAGTTTTTTCTTTTTATTACCACTTGTTAGTGAAATCGCATTGTTTTACATCCTTGTTAATTTTTGACAGTGTAGGTTTTCTTCCCAAAGACTTCTTGATCCATATGCTTAATTATTTTGACGTTTTTAAGCATAAGAAGTCAGAAGAGGGGCAGCGTGGTTGCATTTTTTTCCCTCTTTGTCACTATTATTGTGCCCAAGACAGACCACAGTAATAAGGATCAATTTTTAGATGCAAGATTTTTCTGTGAAAAATCAGTCTAGGTTTCTCATTTCTGAGAAATAATAGGATTATATCTTGGGTATTTTTTGCCTAATACATACAAGAAATTGTACTTTAATGTGCTGAAGAATTCCTGTGCAATTTGATGTTACAAATGCTGTAAATATTTGCCCATGTTTTTCATGTTAGTGTGACTTGGTACTTGATGCTGCACATGAGAAAAGTTCTGAATCTAGTTCGGGGCCAAAACGTGAAGAAATAATGGAGAGTATTTTGTTCAAGTGTTCTGACTTTGTTGTGGTACAGTTTAAAGATATGGACTCCAGCTATGCAAGAAGAGGTGAGTTTTGATTTCCTACATAAGCTTCATGATTTATTAGATTAAGTCAAGCATACATTCCTTACACCGATCAGGTCAGACTTTTTCTTTTAAAGAAATACAGGCCTTTTAGAATAATTTGGGAATTTTAATGCATTTTTGTTGGAAAATGAACTTTAGTACTTCTAGTAGCATTAGTGACAGTATTCTACTAAAAAATAAATTTGTATTTTCTAGCATTTCATGGTCAAGAATGCTATTAATTATATGCAGTTGAAAGTTTCTTTTCTCATTTGACCTTACAGTATTTTAGTTTATAAATCTTTAGTTTCATAGTGTTTCTAAACAATGCTCATGTGATTTAATTATGTGTACAGTTTTATAAATGGTTTAGTATTATCATTTGGAAAAAAAAAACAAAACAGGGCTCAGGAGAAGGCAGGCAGCTGTGATGATTAATGAAGTTGTAAAAGGTATGTAGATTATGTATGTTTTTTGAGAAACCATATGGGACTATGCTTTGAGAATATAAAAGTGGTGATGTAGTTATAGTGAAATTTAGTCTGTTTCAAGTGTCCACTGATGATGAAAACAGAATCGCTATCCTTTGGAGCCCTGCAGTGCTGAGTGTTTACTAACACACTAGCAGTTTTGTGGACATTGTTGACTAAAATTCTAAAATTAATTTTGGGGGGTCAAATTCTATGGTCAGTTCTCTCTTGGTCAGTTCTCTTGGAACTCTTAATGAGATTCTCACCTTCAGTTAGCATGCTTTCTCAGAGGCTGGCTGTGCAAGATTATTCACTGTCACTGCTATGCAGTGTTGATAAGACGTAATCTGTTCTTGTAAGCTTCTCAGATGTCTTTGACTTAAACAGCTCTTTGTCTAAGATTTCTTCACTGATTCATACAAGGAAGCAGGTCTTTGGAGATGATATTTATGTCTAGGGGCAGAATTATTACTTATGCTTTAAATATATTACAACTGTTCCACTGTTGTAAAATTTTTTTTTTTTTAAGATTTTATTTGTGCATACAGAACTGGGGTGCAGGCCAAAGGTGCAGGAGCAGTGAGAGGCTTCACCAGAGACAGAGTGGAGAGCAGAACAGGCAGATGGATGAAGGACACTGGTGAGGGGAGCAGCGGGCGGGTCAGGAGAGGTCTGCAGTGCCCTGTGGTCACCTCCGGGGCTGGAGATTGAACTTGATCTGAAGCAGCTGTGGTTAGCTTGCAGTGCTGTGGTTTAACTCACTGCGTCACCAGGGAGGGCCCACCGTTGTAAATTTCAGAATTGACCTTGGATAATAAGCAATAAAAGAAAACAAAATTTTGGTTGAGTTTAGTTCCTGGCACTCTTGGAGAAATTATTCACCACCACCACAATGAAATGATAACCAGCCCTGTTGGGTAGCAGGTCCTCTAACTTACAGCCATTTACAGTATGCTTTTCATTTTTTTTCTTTTCCAAGTGAATTGGCACTTCTCAAATTTGGGAACGGAGATAATAGTTTTAGATAGTTATGGTATCGTTCTTTGATCCTCTGCAAAATTAATTTGTTATCTCCGTAAGTCTGCTTCTCAGGTAATTTGTATTTCATGTCAACACCGCACACCCCCCGCCCCCCAATAACAGATCAGAGCATCAGCGTTGACAGTCAGTGTTCTGTACACATAAAGGAATGGATATATTTTGCTTTATATACAAAATGTTAGCATTTATTGATGAAGACATCTAATCGTGGAATTCTTTCAGATATTTAAAGACTGGTGGTTTAGTGAGTTACACAATGATGTCCAATTCATAGCTTAATAATAGTGTTAAGTCATGTGTTTAGTATTCCAGGCTCTTAAGCCAGATTCTTAACACTATTATGGCAGCAGAAATTGCCTGTTGTGAAAGAAAAGTAGTGTTTGGGAGGTATGATTAGTATATAAGAATTGATTAATTATAAAAATTAAGATATTGAGTACAGCTTTTAGATTTAGTTTAAATTAAAGACTTATTCAGATTTCTAGTGCCCTTGAGTAAGGGTAGGTTTTCTTAAGGGTGTGTCACATTTTGTCACTGGTGTTTTGGGAATCTTTAGTTCTCATTCCTAATTAGTCTGGGTGAGGCTCTGGTCATGTGATTCTGACGTACAGCCATGAGTGAACAGGTGAGGAGATCCTAGGAATGACTGTTGTGTGAATGTCAAGTAGAATACTTGAAAAGGGATCCTTTCTGTCTAAGAAGTAGAGATTATTTCAAATAGTCTCTGATACTGTCAGTTTGATACCACTTTCTACATCTTATCTGGGTATATGGATTGAGGTTTCTTTTAAGCATTGATAGACTGAGTGATAAGAACTGTATTAGTTTCAGCTTCTTAAAAGAAAAGGGAAATGAACTTACTTTCTGAGGTTTTATCTTAGGGTTCTCTTTTGTAATAGTATTGCCAGATCTAGTTGAATTTAGTTGAAAATATTAACTGAATTTGAATGCATATTACGTGTCATACAATGTTGTTTTTTTATGTTTCATTTAATCATTTTTCTTTCTGAAGTCGGTGCAATCATTATTCACATATTGTAGACGAGGAAACTGCAAACCAGCTAGGTAAATTGGTTAAGTGAGGACACAAACCCATTGCTCTCTAAATCCTAAGTCATGTGCTAGAATGACATGTTACGTGGTCTGATTTGTTGTTTAAGCTATGCCAGAATAAGTCTGATTTACCTCAAAGAATTTCCCCACAAAGCAAAAAAAAAGTTTTTTTTAAGGGCCGCCCTGGTGACACAGCTTCAGCATTATGAAGCTGTCTTGCTGCCACTGTAGCACGAGTTGAATCCCCCGCCAGGGAGCTGACCCAAATGGTGCAGCAGACCTCTCCTGTCTCACCTGCTGCTCCTCAGCAGTGTATTTATTTCAGTAGTCAGTAAGCTTGTTCTGCTTCCCACTCAGTGAACCCCCTCCCCCACCTATACCCCGGCTCTTGTATGCATAAATCAGCCTCAAAAAAATTTTGACCAATATTAATATGCAGATTATTGCATTGCATTTTTTAGTCTGATTTTTTTAAAAAAAAATGTATTTATGCATACCGAACTGGGATACAGGCTAGAAGTGCAGGGGCGATAAGAGAATTCACCAGAGACAGAGCGGGGAGCAGAACAGACAGATCGACGAAGTCCACTGCTGAGGGGAGCAGCAGGCGGGTCAGGAGAGGTCTGCCGCGCCCTGTGGTCACCTCCAGGTGGGCAGGGATTGAACTCATGCTGACGTGGCTTTGGCTTCTTAGTGCTGTGCTTTAACCCGCTGCGCCACCAGGGAGGGCACAGTCTGATATTTTGGGGGAAACTTGAAGTTGAGGTCAGTATGGCTTTAATTTCTTAATGTTAACTTCACTGATCTAAAAAAAAATACTAAATTTGTCTTAATACATACATATGTAAATAAGGGCCTAGAAATAATTGATACTTTTTTTTTTTTAAATAAAAAGATTTATTTATTTATGCCTACAGAACTGGGGTATGGGCCAGAGTTGCAGGGAGTGAGAGGATTCATCAAAGACAGAGTGGGGAGTAGAACAGATGGACTGAAAATACACTGCTGAGGGGTAGCAGCAGGTTGGTCAGGAGAGATCTGCCGTGCTATGTGGGTCAGCTCCCTGGCCAGGGACCGAACTCGTGCTGCCCTGGCTTCAGTAGCTTCATAGTGCTGTGCTTTAACCTGCTGCGCCACCAGGGAGGGCCCTGATACCATTTTATGATAGGAAGAATAAGTTTTATTTGATCTTTCTAATGTTACACATGTACCAATTTGATTTGTGATGAAATGGGCAAAATGTAAAATTAGCTTTATCTTTTATAAGATATAATTTGCATACAGTTAGAAAAGGCCATCAGATTATCACTGAAAAGTTAGCATGTGGTTTATCCTTTCTCAGAATTCCAGTATAGAGAGATCTGCGGGGCTGTTATTTTTTTCCCTCGTAATTTTGCCATGCATTTTTTTAGCTGCCTTTGTCTCTTATCCCTTTTCACCTTTTTCTTGGTTTCCTGTCTCTTTTCAACGTCCCTTTTTCATCTACTTTTTGCCTTTGTTTTTTTCCTTTACTTTTCTTAATGCTCCTTGAATCATGTATTTCTCTTTAATACCTCAGTTAAGCTATATTTTAATTCTGTGACTTTTCTTCCTTATTCCATTCTTCCTCGTGCTTCTTTATTCGTTCATTTTGTTGTATTTTCTTTTTTAGTATTTTCAGCATGGAGGGCATTTTCAGCAGAAGTAAGGTCTGAGGACCAAATCCACTCATTAGTAAATAAAATTTTATTGTAGCACAGACCCAATTCATTTATGTGTTGTCTGTGACTGCTTTCATGCTATAGTGATAAAGTTGAATCCTCGTACAGATACTGTATGGTTTGCAAAGCCAAATATATCTACTGTTTGCCCTCTGGCATAAAGTGTCAATTCCAGGCCTAGATCATATTTCCTACTGCATTTGTGCTATTATGGCTGGTCACAAATACATCACAAATACTGGCTTTGGTGAAATAATACAGAACATATTTCCTTTAAATTCACGGGTTGAGGCTGATACTGTGTAGTTTCATTTAATTATTTATGACTATTCAAATTGAATTTAGCCTGAAGAATAATTTTTACTACCAACTCCTGTCATAATAAGTGGAAAAACCATGTTTGAGAAATCTGTAATTGGGAACCATTTCCATCTTCAATAGTCCACTCCCTGCTCTACCTGCAAATTTATCTTTCCCCTGGTCATTATTCTCATTCCTTGAGTTCTAGTAAAAGGAATGTCTTACTTTTGTTCAGTTCTAGCTTCTCTAATCATACCGTTGATGGTATGCATTGTACCGTTCTTAGGTTCTTGTTTTTTTATATCAGCTGTTTCCAGACTCTTTAACTTTCTCCATTTGCTTCTTCCTTTCAGCTTGAAAGCCTATTCAAGTCCCTCTTTTTAAAAGGATCTTTTTTGATGCTGAATTACTCGTTACTATCCTATCTTTTCTCCCT